CAGAAAAGGCAAAGTTTTTGTATTCTACGTAGATGAAAGTAAGAGCTTCTAGCAACACTATTAATCTGAGAAGAGAGAGACATAGTAGAATCAAAGATAAAACCTAGACTACGAAACTTATGAGAGACATCAAGAGTTTTAGAATCAGGTAAGATAATAGGAGGAATAGTAATTGAGTGTTTAGATTTATTAAAACAAATTAATTCAAACTTAGAAGGATTAAGTTTAAGACACATAGAATCAGACCAAGCGATAATCGAAGAAAGACATAGAGATAAATTATGAAGAACACTATTGAGATTAGATGGAGGAAAAGAAGTATAAATATAAGAATCATCAGCATATAGTTGACTAGAGAAAGAAAAGTTATTAATAATACGAGGTAGTTCAGAAGTATAGAGTATAAATAGAAGAGGGCCAAGGATAGAACCCTGAGGTACCCCGAAAGTAAGAGTAGAGGAGTTAGAAGTAGAATTATTGAGAACAACAGAAGAAAAACGATTACAGAGATTTAAATAACACTACTCAATGTATTTAAATAACACTACTCAATGTATTTAAAAACACAGAAAACCAGTCAATAAAATTGTCTTTCTTTGTAGAATTTTATATTAACGTTTTGAAATTTAATAAAAAAAATAATGTTTAACAAAAAATTTTGCGTCACGTTGCACTAGTTTATCTTTCGTGGCTAAAAAAAGCTATTGTTGTTGCCGCTTTGCAAGGTGCAAATTTCATGGCGTACTAATTTCGTAACTGATGCATTTAGATGCTACCTCGACAAATACAAACCCAAAGGGAAGACTTTCTATTTATATACATCATTCCCTAATCCAATCACAAATAAATATAAACTCAATTTATTCAATAGCTGTTAGAATTACCTAAGACATTCCTTTAACCATTTGTAACTATTATAATCCTCCTAATACAAAAATAGGTGATAAACTTGAAAACATTATTAAATCTCTCCCAGTGCCAATGATAATATTAAGTGCTTTAATATTAGAAGATGGAAAACCAGTTATCAAGAAACATACTTTGGGGTGACAACAAAACTAACACATCAGGCAAAGAATTAAAACATTTTATTGTTCACTCAAATATATGTTTAATTGAACCATACATGCCTACTCATTATCACATACAAACAAATATAATGGTCCACAATAGATCTGTTTTTAGCCTCCCCCACTATTTACAGACATGTAACATGGCATAAAGATGATGACTTAGACAATAACGATCACTCTCCAATAGTTCTAACATACAATATCTCAAACCAAAACAATGTAGCCTAATCAATCAATCAATCTTCGTTTAGCGTCCAGAGACCCAGTTTCCAGAGGTAGGACGTTGTTTTCTTTGCCATCAACCTTTTGCGCCAAATTAGACGATCAGTTGTATCCATTTCATTTAAATTTAGAGCTTTCATGTCTTGCTTGATTGTTTGCGACCAGGGCTTCTTTGGACGGCCTTTGGGACGTGTGCCAGGTACTTCAACATCTGCAAGAGAAGTTATGGCACTGTTTTTACTTCGTTTGACATGACCAAATCACCGCAGAAATTCTGCTCCTGGTCCAGACCGAATAACATATAATACTCTTAAAAAACTACCTTTATTACTCTACAAGCATTCAATCATATTTGGACACAAATGAATGGCCAGAGGCATTAGTATTGCCAATACCTAAACCTGGTAAATCAAAATCCAATCCTGAAAATTATAGACCTATCTCATTAATAAATACCCTCTATAAAGTCTTTGAAAAAATAATACTAAATAGGTTGCAATTCCATTTAAATATAAATAACACAACAACAAATATTCAATGTAGGTCAAAAAGATAGTTTACTTCTTTGAGGTTTGACGCTTATTTGTATCGAAATTACAATAGTGTGTAATTTGACCATCTCTGGAAACTCTATTATCTTCGGGAGGATTTGTATTTCTCTCGAGGTGCATCGAGAATCTACTGTGGCTAAATAGCATGGTGGAAGTTTCAAATTTTTTTCGAATGCCGTCTGTGGGTGGCCTCCATGGTGGAAGCTCAAGCGACGTACCAGGAACTTAATTAGTCAAAACTTAATTGAAGTAGAGTGAATGCACTGGAGTGGGAGTCATTGGTTTGTGGGGCTGGCGAACAGTAGGTGGGTTTTCTCTCTTCGTGCTGACTTCAACTTCTGGTGCTTCTGGTCTATGGTGTGGTTATTGAATCTGTTACCCGTCAACTTAAAAAGATTGGAATAAACTATTACAACTTTACATCTTAAAGTATACTTAAGTCAAAGATTACCATTTATTTTTCTGGATTAATGTCTTGATATAGTTTGATCGGATTTTTCCTTTTCGGCTGTGATTGATTTTGAGGATGTAATAATAATAACTAAATAATTATGAAAAAAAATAAAAAAACAAAAATTAGGAAAAAATATTAAAATTACTGGCAAATTATGGCACCATCTCGGGAGCTGCAGTGCCGTTAAAATCTTCATTAAAAAAAAAATTCGTAACTGCTCTAAGATGAGAAACATAACTAAATCTTCCGTTTTATTAAAAGTGACTAAGTTAGATATAATATTTTTATAAATTTGTTGCAAGCTGTGCTGCGAGAAAAACTATAAAAATTGAAAAGAAAAAATAAAAAAAATAAAAAAACAAAAATTTTTGAAAAAATATTTTGTGCATTTAATTAAATGTAAAAGAAAGCAGGTGTCTTATAAGGCACTAACAAATGATCTACATTATTTTAAACTTTCAAAATTTGAAATCAAAATAAATTAAATTAAAATTGAAACATTTGAACAAAATTTGACTCAGATAGCATGCTTAAATGCATTAAATGAAAAAAAAACAACAGAAGATTATCATTATTTTATTGAAAACTGCTGTGAAGTGAAAAATAAACGATATGTACAAAGAGTTTCAGAAAAATTTTATTTCATGGGTGAGTTCTCCCACCAGAATGTAACAGAAAAGCTTGTAGACAAAGACTTGACAAAATGCCAGTACATGGGAGGAATGTAGAGGACGTCACCCGCTTCCACCACCACTTCTTTGTAAGGAATTCTGTGAAAATCTGGAAATCTTCCTAAATCAACATTTTCTACATCAATCTGACTGGTTGTTTGTAGCAAGTGATCACTGTGAATGTGAAGTTTGTCTGAGTATGTTGGATCAATCAGTTTGAAGTATTTCTGTCCAAAAACCTGAAAAAATTCATGAATACTTGTTTCAACAACATTTAATATCACAATTCAAAAATAATGAACATTTGACCAAACAAAAAGATTGAAAAAAATGCATTAAAATGAAGTGTGGAAAAAGAGCTAGACGTTTGCAAGCAACACTCAAATTAGCAGACGAAAATTTAAAAATGATAATATATTATAAAACCATGGATATCTGATGAAACATGGAAACTTATAGAAACTTGTGTGCAACTAAGTGCCAGGCAACAAACCTCACAAGCTCTCAAATAATGCAACCTAAAATGTTTGATTGTAAAGAAAATAAATATGCAGATATCAACAAAGACGAAAACTCAAACCTGGCAAAATAAATTTTCTTTTTCATCTCTGTGCAGGGGAGAGACAGTGTTAGCCGGACCGAACCAAGCATTAATATCAATGTTCACATCACAATCTTCTGAACTGATGGAACAGTAATCAGGTACAATAATGTCCTTTCTTAGATCTTCAATTTGATCAAAAAGTTGATATTGTGCTAAATAGCCTTTCTCCTCTGTATCTTTAAGTATATATCTAAAACAAAAAAAAACAATTGTTTTATCAATAATTTATGCAAAATAAAAATTTAAGTAAAAACTAACTGTTGAATAAATTCATCAATTCGCATGAGCTTTTGTGACCAAGAGTCATCTGTGTACTTGGAACCAATTTCAATTGGCACCAGTCTGCAGCCTGCTTTCCTTCTTATGTAATCGACTGTCCATCTTCTTTCACATAAAGCTGGCCACTTGTCTATGCAATTTTTCATTAAAACTGGCTGACCATTCTTCATGATAACAGTTCTGAAAAAAGGATTTGTTAAGAATATAAATTACATTTTTAAATTCAATAAAAACTTACTGAAAATATTCCAAGGATGGACAATAAACTGTTTCAATTGATTCGTTATCAATAAGTTTGGTTTTCTTCTGTTTATGTTCAACATCATTTTCTCTATTGATATTTGAGGAAAAATTAGCCACATGAAAGAGAGTGGAGTAGATGTTGTGAATGTACGAAGCAAATTGAGGCAGTACACTATTTGGCAGTGAATATCCCATCAATAGTCCCATGTCACAACTCCTCAATATTTTCTTTAATTGTTTTTTAAATATTCTATTCTTTTGTTCCTCATTAAAATTTATTTCTTTGAAATTTTCTTTCAGAAGGAAATACTGACTTGAAGCCTTAATGCAGCTGATTTGTGAATAAACTTTTCTCCATGCCAAAGGCACGTCTTTCCAGTGACCAATGTAGAACTGCTCCCATACGTACTCCAAAAGAATATCAGAGCGAGTGCAACAGTGCTCATATTTTGCTCTTGACCCTTCTTGATAAGCTAAACGTAAATCCTCTACCATTTCTAAGAAAACGTTCCCAAACATACTTTGAGGTCCATCTCCATCTGTAGGCATGATAACATTGTCCAATTGCAGAGGAAATTTAAACGCTTCATCATTTTCATCCATAAAGTTCATTTTTATAATTTAAAAACGTAACAACCAGAAAATCAGGTAAAAATAATTTCTCAATTAGCCGATTTTTATTTAATTAATTAAACAGACCGGACTATCCACGCGGCAACGAGAGATTCAACGTACGTCGACAAATGTGAAACAACAGCGTAACTTACCCTACATGCCTTTATATAAACTCAACAACAAAGGTCCAAAGATGCTGAAACGTGCAATTTATATGTCGTAAAATAGTAATTCTTGAACAAACACTTTTACAGGGTCTCGAACGCACCCGTGAACATTTTCAGTGCGCTTTAGTTTAAATGTATATATATATATTAAAATAATACATACATAACATTGTATATATATATATATATATATATATATATTGGTAATAGATATATATATATTATATTTGCAGCATGAATTCGGAAAATAAGTTTATTTTGAATTTTAATAAACTAAACGTTCACCAAAAAACTTTAGTGAGAAAAAATTAAAAAACGAACTACAAACATATTAACGCCAAACATTCGGTAGAATTTAAAGAATAATGTAAAAATGATGGTCTATTAACAACATATATATATATATATATATATATATATATATATATATATATATATCGCAATCAATATATTTATAAATGACTTGACTTGACCCGACCGATAACATGATGATGACCTTTTCATTTTCTTGTTAATTTCGTTTTCTGTTGGTATTGATCACATAACTAAAATAAATATAACGGCCTTCGCTCACTTTTAACGGTCGAACAAGGAGCTTACTTCCGGAAGAGATTTGGAGGGTGATTTATTATCGTTCGAGTCAAGAGTCGGGCTATCAGGGGCGTCATTTCAGATTTTGGTTGAGGGGGGCGAACTTATGTGGTCTATGACTTAGCATGTAACATATATATATATATATATATATATATATATATATATATATATATATATATATATATATATATATACATATTAATAAAGATCACGGCGTTTCTTACAGTACTCAATCTATATGATAGTTTCTCGATTCTTCGAATAATTCTCCGATCTATTAAACTTAACTTGTTAATGCTATTAACAAAATTCCTATTTACAGAAGATGTCATTATCTACATGTATGCATATAGTACTATTTTCACTACCTAGTGTCGTCAGTGCAACATTATAATAAATTATACATTTTTAAAGTTTTTAAAATTTCAAAATTTTTAAAGTTTTAAAATTACTAAATTATATATCCTATATATATCCTTTTTACAAGGAAAAAGAAAATTTAAACAGAACATGAATTATGT